AGTTTCCCCTCACTTTAAAAATGGCTTGCTTACAAAATCAGACCTAAAAATAAAGTGTCACAGCCACACTATTACTGGGAAATTGCTGACTTTCATTTTTACCATATAATTATAAAATAAATCGATTGGAATATAAATATTGTACTTACATTTGGTGTATAGCAGTGGTTCTCAAACTTTTGTACTGGTGACCCCTTCACATACCAAGCCTCTGAGTGCAACCCCTCCTTATAAATTAAAAACACTTTTTTATATATTTAACACCATTAGAAATGCTGGAGGCAAAGCAGAGTTTAGGATGGAGGCTGACAGCTCACAACACCCCATGTAATAACCTCGTGACCCCCTGCGGGGTCCCAACCCCCAGTTTGAGAACCCCTGGTGTATAGTGTATATAGAGCAATATAAACAAGTCATTGTATGAAATTTTAGCTTGTACTGACTTTGCTAGTGCTCTTTATGTAGCCTGTTGTAAAACTAGGCAAATACCCAGATGAGTTGATGTACCGCTTGGAAGACCTCTGTGTATCCCCAGGGGTACACGTACCCCTGGTCGAGCGTCACTGCTATAGAATGAAGCTATTGGGTTTCCAGCATTGCAGGTGAATGCTCCAACTTCAAACAAATGAGATTGTCTTTGAAACCCTTTAATGAAATTCTCTTGTTCAAATCTGACTTTTTAAAACCTGCATTTGGAGCCAGGCGCCTTCCTCTCAAGGTGCTGCTGTGTAGCTTGTCTTTTAAAACTAGTTTAAATGAGAAATAAGAGACCAACATAGTTGGAACATTCCTGACTTGGCAAAGGAAGCTGCCGGAAGCTACCTTGCTCACTGTGTTCTCTGGGGAAATGGCTGCAATATCCTATTTTTCCCTTATAAGTTCTGCTGTGTCATGTTTGTCCTCAGATGGAGGTGATAAGGATGCCCGCGATGCAGTACAGATGCGCTTGGAACAGAGACTCCGGGATGGTTTGGAGGATGGGTCTGTTTCAGGGCAACAGATTGGGACCTTTGAGAAATATACCAAGGTAACGCTAGAACATGTGCTGCTCGTGGTGTCTGGGCTGGAGGCAAGTGAGAGTTGGCCAGTAGAGGCTTGAAATGACAGAGAAATACAGGACTTGGATTAACTCGCAAACTTTTCTCTCTTCGGGTTGCTTTTCAAAGTTATTTATAAATCCCTGTAAAAGTGCAGGCATCATGGAGCTGGGTTTTAGTTAGGGGCAGATTGGGGAGGTTGGGGGCTTTAGAAATGCATGTAACCGCTACAGAAGACACTTGGCCAGGACTAACTAGCCCTCTTATTAAGGCTCTGCAACAGGGGCTATTGATGAAGCTTGATCCCTTGGTGTGTCACTGACCTCAGTGTAATAACTTGGCCCACTCACTCCCAGAATTGATGCTGGTTTACATGGAGTGATTTCTTCTCTTCCAGGGTATTGGCAGGAAGGTGTTGGAGAGGCAGGGCTGGATGGAGGGGCGAGGTCTAGGGAGCAGCAACTCTGGAATGGCTGAAGCGTTGGACAATGAGGGTCAGCATCCCAAGTGCAAGAGAGGATTGGGGTAAGTGCTACAAACTCCTGGTGTTCTTTGCTTGTGCACAGTGCCACTCAAAGGCCCCATACCAAGAGGTAAAATGTAGTAGGTAATTGACAAAAGAACGTTCCTCAGCAGTCAAAACTGGAGGGATGTCCCAGGGGTTCTGCAGCAGTCTCTATAGGCAGCATTGATGTGGGTATTGAGGATACAACTCGTGCCATCTAGAGGTGAATGGAATATGCTTCTGTCCTCGTGGCTGTGCAGCTCAAGTGAGATCAAGTCCTGAATCTTGGACCCTTATTTTTGCTACTCGGCAGTCCTCCATCAATACATGGATTGTCCGTATTGGCTCTGGCTTTTGCTTTGTGAACTGTTTCTTTGCTTCCTTATAGGGGAGCTTGACACAAACGTGGCTCATGACATCAATGATGCTTGTGATGGGGTGTGCCGAGTTTTGGAAACTAAACTGCTGCAGCAGAGCCAACAGGGGTGGTACCTACAGTACTCTTTTGCTTGCAGATCCTGTGAGAGTGGAAACAATTGATCTGTGTGCAGACCTAGTAAACATTAATTGTTCTGTTTCAGCTTTGAGTCAGCCAGCTCAGGCTTTATGCCTAAACTGCTTCAGATTCTCTGCATCTTCAGAGCTCCTTGCATTTATAGACCCTCAGATACTTTACAAACATCCCTCTTAACGGCCTGCAAAACAGAGATTCGCTCACTTTGGAGCCATGCTAGTGAAACTATACCTAGAGGTCGGTGCCAGTCAGGAACAGGACCTGGGAGCTGTGATTCCTAGTCCCCATGCTCTAACCAGGGGCCTGGCCCTTCCTTTTATTAGCATTTGGTAAATATGGGCTAGTGTAGAGGGATTTCTCGTGTCCTAAACAACAATGCACTGAAACACTGCTCTCTGCCCACACCTCTCTAGGTACCATGGAGAGAAACTGCAGACTTTCAGCAAGCCGAAAAAACCTCGCCGGGATGGCCCCATCCTCATCTCCACAATCTACGATGAGCCCCAGCCTGTAGACAGTGGGGACCAGCTACTGCGGCGCCAGCTGCCCGCTGCCATGAAGTACAGACAGGACATGGCATTTGTCCGAGCGACTCAGAGTGCTCACCAGAGGCCTGGTGCCTCATGAGAGTTGCTGCTGAACAGAGACTGTGCGACTCATTCATTAGAGCAATAGCAGAACCTTTATATTAGAACAGCCTCTTCTGTGCTCCTTTGTAACCTGGAGGCTGACTTCTCCTGCTGTCTGATCCTAAGCAAAATGTTAATATATTTTCTGGACTCTTTTGTAGCATGCAAGTCTTTCTGTTTTAACAATTGCTGTATGAGGAGGGGGTCCCAGTATCCCTGCCACCAGCTGACGTCTTTGATCCTGTTTGTTTGGCAGGGGGAAGGTTAAGCTTCTACTGAGTGTTAGCAGCCTTGCTTACAGCATTAGTGTTGTGCGTTTTGTTTCGGCTCCTGCAGTGAGATGTTTTCAGGTGAACTGTCTGCAAGCAGGCTTGAGCTCATCTCTTACTCTCAGGAAGAAATGTAACGGTCTTCTAGAAAACTTACTACTGGCCCAGAGCATCATTCAGTCGATGGCATTTACACTGCACTCAAATGAAAACTTCCTGGGGCCAAATGACCCTTTTGGTGGCCTTCACTGGACTAAGTGCTGAAGATAAAATGAAGACTTTTCTATAGAAGTAGTGAGACTAGCTGTGCTTTCTCTGTGTCAGGTGCTGCACAAAATGTGTAAAACCACACGCTAGGATGTGCGCCTCAAGCTCTGCTCCCTTCTCCAGTGATTAGCACTTGTGCTCTTTTTACCCACATGTACTTGGCTACACACTTCTCCACTGAGAGATGCCCTACCTTCCCCCTCAGGGCTTTGCACTGTGGCATGAAGAATTAGCAGCAGGATCTGCTCAGGAAGCCTGTAGCCTGTGCCTGTTGACAGGGCCAGTTTATGCCACAGCTGTAGACTGTGACTATGTGGTGAGAGGAATGCAGAGTTCAGGTTTGTTTTCTTTACAGTTTGTTAGCATGAGCTCTGTGTTTAGAAAGCTCATTGCTGGCCTTTCCTGCATTGAAATCACCTAGACATCACCTCCTAACTAGTTTAGCACAGGCTACAACTATAGCTTCTCTTCCTTCAATCAAACGTGCTTGTTAAAACAACACCTGCTAAACCTTGTACTTTCTTCTTTGTCTTGACAACTGCTTTACCCCTGGAATACCATGGCAGAAAAGTACCAGCTGTAGGCTGAGCCCCTTGTAAACAAGGTTTAGAAACAGCCTGCGGGAAAGAGTTTGATCAATTATCTACTCCCCCGGTGCCACTAAAATTAGTTTAAGGATGTACAGTAACTTCCATTTGTCACAAACCTCTGAGAGCCTCCTCGGCTAGGAGGCCTAGTCTGCATCCTCCACAGCCTGGCTCTGGGGGATATCATCCAGTGAGACTAGATGCCAGTTTCTCCCACAGAATGAACACACGGAACCTGATGCCTATTAATTTTTAACAATAGCTGGGCAAATTCCTTTTAGGGTTTACTAAGCTAAGGCCTGATCAAGAAGTTTAACTCCATTTTCCAGCTTTTTAAAATCTATCTGTACAGCATGTAGCCCAATGGAGTCTGGCTGATGAGTGCTAATCCTAGGCCCTCTCATACAAAAATTTTAAACATGTAACACCCAACTATTTATTAGGGTAGGGGCAGAGCTCCTTTCTCAGGTAAATCTCTATTATTAAAGAAGCTTCTTGCCCTCCTGTAGAAATAAAGGGGTTGCATCTGTAAATAAAAGCTTTGTCTCTGCATGACATACCCTTGCCAGCAGTGCGTGGGTGCTGTGTGAATACTCCCCTCTTTCCAGCTGGACCAACCTGTGGAGAGGGCCACCTAGGTGCCTCTTACTCACTACCGGAGCTGTTACTTACAAGGGCATGGCTTCCCTGTGGGAGGGGGTTGAGGTCTGGCCTTAAGGCTGGGGGTGGATTATTGTTAATGGTGTTTCACACCAGTGTGGTGGCTCTGCCTTAATGTTAAATTAATTAGCTTAGGGCTGTGGGGGTGGGAATGGAGCCCTACAGCGTTTAGGGTCCTGGATAAATAATTGGGGGGGGGGTCTCTGTCCTGCACTTGAGCTATGGGCAGGCCTGGAAGCTAATAAACAGCAAAACCAACTTAGTGCTTGAGCAGCATCGGAGCAGGCTGCTTGTTTCTCTTCCCCCCAGGCTGTATGGGGCGGGGGGTGGGGGGGCTCTCCCTAGGGCAAGGGGTGAAGCTGTGCTGTGCTAGCTCCTATGGCACCAGAGCCCCTGGGATTTCCCTATCTGCTTCCTTTTCCTACCTTCCCCCTGTGGCCGCCAGGGGGCGCTAATCTCCTAGTTCAGCCCTGTCCGGCGGGGGCGGTGCCTCATGAATATTTATTACGTTATTATAATGAGGACGTCGCGCTGACGATCCTGCGGCTCCCGGAACCTTCCCGCTCGCTTCCGCCCAGCCAGCCGGACCCGAGTAGCTGGGACACGCGCCGGAAGTGGCGGGAGGAGCCGCGGAGGTGAGGCTGCTCGGGGCGGGGGGGTCGTTGAGGGGGCTTCGGGCTCCGCCCGCCCGTTGCTCACACGGGGGTAGCGCGGCCTCCCTCTCCCCGCCCCTCCCCACCCCCCAGTGCCTCAGGGACAGGCTGGGAGCCGGGCGGGCATCTCCCCCGGGACGGGCCCCTCAGCGACCCCCCTCCCCACTGAGTGGGGCTGCGCCCCTCAGCCTCAGAGACCCCCGCCCCACTGACGGCCACTGCACCCCCCATCCCACAGAGACCCCCCAACCCCACTGAACCCC